TTCATTATAATGGACAGTAAAAGAATAACCTCTAGCAATGCTAAACACATTTGTATAGTTACTTAGAGAAAGGTTAGTGTCCCTCCCATGCTTAGTAAACAACATATGAAAGATGAGGATCTTCCAAGAGGATGAGAGGTTACAATTATACAACCAGGGTAGGTTGTTTGACTTTTCGAAGTATTCAATGTGATCTAACAACAGTGATAGACCAATTACTATGCAACATAAAAATAAGCTATACCTTGTCTTCTTTCTTTTAGTGGTATAAAGACTGATCTTGTGGCACTTAGGTTGTACAATATGTACTGTTTGATCATAACATAGTGAGAATGTATTACTTCTTTCAAGTTTTTGCATATAATCAATTAACCATTCAAATTCGTTAGAATAAATCATTAAATATATAAAATTAATTAATAATTGCATTATAGAAGCCCACCCCCTTCCCCTCCCCCTTCTTGAATTGTACACTACCTTCTCAAATTGATTATACCATATCCCCTCCCCCTCCCTCCCCATATAAAGAAACCAACTAAATATCAATGTCACAATAATTAAAATCATTAACAAACTTCCCAAAAACATTAAGTGTAGCAAACAATAGAATGTGTAAGAACCAAAGGGGACCCGGGGTGAACCCGCGCCAGGCTCAAAAAGCCCGTTCTTACCTGTGAGGAGAGCCAAGTAAAATCCCTCCCTTCCACCCCAGGCATGAAGAGAATATATATTAGTGTTATTAGAGAGTACGCATTGAAGTGTGACTGAGTCTAAAGGCAACTAAAGTAACAATATAGCAATGAAGCTTTCTTTAAGAATTGGTTAGTTCTCCTGATGGGCTCTGGACGCTTGTCTCACAGGAATCTTGCTCCACTGAAGAGGAGGAGACAAGAACTCTAGTTTCCATTTGTTGTTCTTTTTCAGGTCTTGGCCACAGGGAAGGTTTAGGGCTTTTAAGAGGTTTAACCCTGAGTCCTCATCATTGGCTTGGAGGAGGGTTCCGTGGTGCCAAACGTGTAGAGCTCCAGATTTCGCCCATCTGTACCTGATGTCTGCCTCAGTTAGTTTAGTGGTGACAGGTTTGAGAATGTGTCTGATTTGAAGAGCTTCTACCGAGACGTCCGGGAGCATGAGTATTTTTTTCATTCATAAATGGGAGTCCTCCATTGACTCCTGCCTCCTGTAGTATGCGTTGTTTTGTTCAGGAGTCGAGGAACTCCACCAGGATGTCTCTGGGACCTGGGCAATGTCTTGAATTTTGGGAGCCCAGCCTATACGCGTTCAGTAATGTGGGGGCTACTCCCGCCTCCAGGCATAGGGCTGTCACCAGCCATGAGCTCATAAAGGCTATAAGGTCTGTATTCCCCTCTATTTTTTCTTGAAAACCGCGAAATTTAAGGCGTCTCTCACGAAGAGAGTTTTCTAGCACTATCAGTCTTTCTTTCACCCAAGATTCATGTGAGTGTAAGCCTTGTATATTCTCTTGGTTTGCTAGGCTATTCTTTTTTCTTTCTTTTTTTGACCCCCCAAAGGGGATTTTTTTTAAATTTGCTTTTCTATAAAACTACAACAGAAATTGGGAAGGGAAAAACCTACATCTAAAGGAGAAAGTAAAAAGAATCTAACTAAAAACCCAAGTGTGGAGGTTTTACAATGCTTAAAACATAGTTATTACATTTGTTCATATACTTTCAAACATGACAAGTGCCTGCCAATCATCACTTCTGTTGACAAAACCAGCTTATCAGACTAGGCAGAAAGTAATTCCAAAACTAAAACACACATGAACTCAGCCCTTAAGAAAAATTGGCATCTCCTTTTACGCTTTGCTCCCCCCCATAGGCAAAATCTTTAAAACCAATGTTCCTTCAGTAAGAACACTTCAACAATTTATCTTCTTCCATCTTAGCTGTATCATCTTTTTCTTCTTCTTCCTCCAATTAGCTTTTAGCTTTTATAAGTCCGGATCTGTCCATTCATTATATAAACCCAGTTCCTTTTTCCAGGGACATCATTGCTTCCTTAGACTTCTTAAATCAAAAGAGACCTTCCTTTTGTTGCATTAGGAACACAATCATTGGAGAATCCAACTTTTCTCTTAGCAAACCGATCTTATGAAGTTAGGGTAGCAAGCCCTTTACTCCAAAAAAACCCCCCGTTTTTCAATCCGTTTGCCAGTCCAACCACAACTGAACTAAACTTTAGAGTCTCCAACCATTCATAAGTCTCTACACCAAGTACTGTCCCTTTAAAAATATAGCCGCTTTTAGTACAGATCCAGGTCACTGCTCCATTTTAGCCACCAGAGGGCCGACGATTCACTTTAAAGACAGAGTCTATGATTAGGTCACATGACCTAGCTTTCCACTGTTCTCCTTCCTGAAGAAAGCATTGGTCCCGCCTCCCTCCTCGCCTCTCATCGTCATCTTTTGGGGATGTTTACATTCGCTGAGAAAGAATGCCAAAGTCTCTAAGGTCAGTTTAAATGCTCAGCTTTCTTTCAGAAAAACTCTCCACTACAGTCCATCACCACAATTTAATCAGTCCCTCCAATCATGCTTTCGCATTAGCTTAAAACATCGGGAGACAGGGCATCCCCTCCCCCTCTCCGCTTATTTAGTAGGGGGACTTCACTTCTAGGTTTTGGTGTCTTGTTTCAATGAAAAACTAACTCATCAGTCCTTAAAGAGCCAGTTTGGTGTAGTGGTTAAGTGTGCGGACTCTAATCTGGGAGAACTGGGTTTGATTCCCCACTCCTCCACTTGCACCTGCTGATGTGACCTTGGGTTAGTCACAAGCTCTGGCACAGCTGTCCTTGAGAAAGAGCAGTTTGTGTCAGAGTTCTCTCAGCCCCACCCACCTCACAGGGTGTCTGTTGTGGGGAGGGGGAGGGAAAGGAGTTTGTAAGCCGCTCTGAGACACCTTTGGGTAGTGAAGGGCGGGGTATAAATCCAATCTCTTCTTCTCTTCTCTTCTTCTTCTTCTTAAATCGATCCACCAGGTCCTAAGATGGCCCCTGGGATCACGCCAGGCAGAGAAAATCGCTAAACCTCCAAACGCTTGATCCGGTAGTCGTTTCTAATCCAATTCTGGGAATTCTGGGAATCAGGGCAGGACCTTCAGGGGAGAGAATAGCCCCCCCTGTACCCGCTGACGGCCGGAGGTAGGGCTCTCCAAAGCCCCCTGGCTAAGAGCCCATTTGCCTATGGGCTTCATGGGGGAGCATGCACAGTCACGCTCCCTCCTAATCCCCGATTCATGGCACACGTCTCTCGGAGGAGCCAAGAGACGCAGCCATCATTGAAGCGCCGAAGACCAGAACTCGCTAGGCTATTCTCCAGCGCGATCTCCGCTGTCTGTGACACTTGTTTTATTTCTTTCTGCATGCCTCCCAATTGATCTGCCAGTGGCTTAAGTATATTGTTTATAGTTTCCAGTAGTTTTGACTTCAGAGATTTAAGAGAGTCATGCAGGTCCCGTTTCACTAGCCTACCGTCTTCTGCTGTTCCGGTTGCCATGGTAGAGTCAGTTGACAGTTCCGTTTGTTCAGTTAGTTCAGTTTGTCAGGGGGGTGTAATAAAAAAATAATATTGTAGAGGCGGGTTTTGGTGTAGTGCCTCGGTTAGTGAACCCCCCCCCCCGTTTTTACCCATAACCTGGTCGGGATTTCGGGGCTGTACTCTTGGTTTTGCCGGAGTTAGGGAGGTCGGGAGTGAGAGAGAGCCTACTCTGAGTCCGACATCATCGTCGGCACTCGTGCCCCCCAGGAGCCATCAGTATCTCCATGGGACAGTTTAAGATGGAAAAAATAGCATAGAGGCAGCCTCTGCTTCTGCCTGCATGCTCTGGTTGTGAGGATAAAAGGGCTCATGTAAGTCTGAGAGTAAGCACCATCAAATAAAAATGGGACTTACTTCTGAGTAGACTTCATTATGCCTACTTCCCTTGTAGGGTTACCTCGGTGGGGTATAATGTCATAGCGTCCACCTTCCAAAGCAGCCATTTTTTCCAGGGGAACCCTCCATGATCTGGAAATCAGTTGAAATTCCAATCTCCAGGCCCCACCAGGCAACCCTATCCTTCTGTCAATGGGGCTGTCCTCACATAGCTACCATAAACTGCCTCCATGTGATTGGGAGCCCTGAAGCAGTACACAATGCTGGTCAGCCTACACATGCCCTATGTGTCTCACATGTCTCTCAGATTGTTCCTCCCTCAGGGAGGCAGGGCTTGTCCCACAGTCTACCAACTTCATCAATCCCACTTTCCCTGATGTTTGAAGATGAAATCTCTAATGAGATTTCAAATATTTCCCTTTTTTCCAACAAAAAAATATGATTTTATCTCATGTGGTATTAGATGTGTATATACCAAGGCACTAGGTAAAGGTAAAGGTTTCCCTTGCTCGAAAGCCAGTCGAATCCGACTCTAGGGTTGCGGTGCTCATCTCCGTTTCCAAGCCGAAGAGCCAGCGCTGTCCAAAGACGTTTCCGTGGTCATGTGGCCGGCATGATTAAACACAAAGGCACACGGAACGCTGTTACCTTCCCACTGAAGTGGTACCTATTTATCTACTTGCAATTTCTTGCTTTCGAACTGCTAGGTTGGCAGGCACTACAGGTTTATAATTCTGGAAAACACTGACCAAGAATTTTTCATTAATTAATTCTTTCTTCCTTTGTCCTCCCTACCCCAAGGGCATATTCTTTTTTCCCTTTTTTCTTTTTTGCAAAAGAACATAGGTATTCTTCTTTGTTTTGCCTCTACAAGTGGAAAGATTAAATTGAAAAGGCCTATAAATAGTCTTCCTAGAAAGCTGAGCAGTTTTGAAATGATCCCCAGGTTTTCTATGAAGTTAGAGACTACTTCCTAATTGATCAGGAGATTATGAAATCACAACATGAAGCTACAATCTTCAGTATTTATATAAACACTCTGGTTGTATTTCAGAGCTCTGGGACTTGAACAGAACGTCAATCTTTCATAGTCCATCTGGATACCTTGGTCTTCATGTAATGTTTCTGGATGAGTATCAAGATCGACTCTTTGTGGGAGGAAAGAACCTGATATATTCCCTCAGCTTAGACCAAATCAGTGAGAATTACAAAGAGGTATAGTAACTACTTATATACTGTATAATAACTGCAAGAAAAAATTTAAGGGTTTTTAAAAAATTTTATAGAGAACGAAACATCACTCAAATGTTTAGAAATGGGATTATGAAGAAGATCCACCGGAAACATAATTAGAACAAGTTTATTATGAAATGTCCCATTTAAATGTAGATTTGAGAAGAGAAATTTCTGATAATTTTTACTTGTCTATCATGAAGTATCTATTTAGTTAGCTAGCTATAATTTTATCCCATCCTTTTTTCAAACCATTTGTCCTCACAACAGCCCTGTGAAGTAGGTTAGGGTGTGGTGACTTCCAGATAGCCATAATGTCCCAGTTTTATTTCTCTTTTTCTTCCTCCTTTCCACACATCTTTGTTAGCAATCTCTTGCTGTCTCACTTTTTCTACATTTTTTTTCTTGCTGTTTCTGAAACCTATTTTACTTCTATCTTTTTTCCTAAAATGTCTTGCATGACAGGCTGCACTTTTAAAAACTTAGAAGTGTTGTACAAACAGATAAAGGACTCTGAAGGGTTAATTCTTCACAGAGCCAGAGAGCCTTGAGTGACAGACTGCTCCAAGTGATCTCATCAGTTAACATCAATTGAGCAGAGAAAGACTTCTAAACTGGATGCTGAGGAGAATTCATTCTGAATTCAGCCCTGTCTGAGAGCAATTTAACACCATTGTAGAACTGGGGGGAGATTGGCAACAGGAGTGGTTAGTTAGAAGAAGACTCCCATTCAGGCCAGAAAAGGGGACAGATCTTCTAGAGAGAGAAGAAAATTCCCTACCCAGTTAAAACAGAGAGATAGCTCTGAATAATGGATCTAGAAGTAGGATCTAGAAATAGAGCTGCTCAGCTAATGCTAACCAGTCAGATTCTTTGGAGCAGCCTGTCACTCAAGGCTGTCTGGCTCTGTGAAGAGTCCCAAAGAGCGCCCGCTTGCTCACTGCGCCGTACCGGAAGCCAGGAAAATGTCATATATTTTCTTTATATGAGGTGGCTTTTGTAAATTTTATATTGACTTTCCATACTTTAGACCATTGCTCTATTTGTATATTATGACCTATATTTTGTGCCCATTTAATCATTGAGTCCTTTACTACTTCATCTTGCATTTTCATTTCTAGTAACAAAATATGAAATAGCTTTACAAATTTCCCATCAGCACAGAACAGAATTTATCTAATTCTACAAGTGTATCATAAAACCCAGTGACATTATCTTTTGCATATCTAAAATCCAGTTGTGCCCTTTGCCACCAGTTCAAATGAATGTCTCTTTTCGTAAGGTTGTCTTTTTGTACTGGCTTGTTTTGGTCATCTAGCAGATCTTCATACCTCCAAAATTGTTCTTTTGTAAATGTCATGGGATTTATGAAGGCCCCAACAGGGCTTCTATCCATCCCTTGAGCAACTGGCTGTCTCCCACTTCCTTCTCCAGTTCTGCTACTGCTGTGTCGCAGCTTGCTTTGCCAGACTCTCTCAATTGCACAGGAAAGATAGATAGGCAAGATTCTGTTCCCTGCATTGGTTGAGGCTCCTCCTCCTCCTTCCATGGGGAGGGAAGGAATGGGCTAGAGCTTGCTTTCTGTCCAAGCCTTTTTTCCTCTTCCATTAGCTAAGGCTCCTCTCCTTCCCCCTTTGCTCAGCTGTCTCAATTGCACGGGAAAAATACAAATCCCCTTTTAAGACCAAAAAAGTTTTATCCAAGGTACAAGCTTTTGTGTGCCTTGCTAAAGTGTGTGTGTGTGTGTATTTTGTTGGGCTTGTTATGCTGTCTGTGTGTGCATTTTGTTGGGCTCGTTATGCTGTGGCTTTCCTGGGTGCAACTGGGTTTGTCTCACCTTTATCACTTTATTCATGCCCTCATGATCCAGTCTTTCTCAGTAGGAAAGCAATGTGAACTATTTAGATGAGGAATAAAGCCAATGTGATGGGTTAGGCCAGGGGTGGCCGAATTTGCTTAACGTAACAGCCACATAGAATAATTGTCAGATGTTTGAGAGCTGCAAGACATGAACAAATATTACACACATGTTTTTATTGAAAAATATGCATATTTGCTTTTTATTAACATTAAATTAGACTGTGTGAAAGAGCCACATGCAGCTCCCAAGCTGCAGTTTGGCCACCTCTGGGTTAGGCTGAGTGTGTGTTCAGACCCAGTTCACCCACACATGTCCTTTGTAGACTGAGGATTTTGAACCTAGACTTTCCAGATAGCAGGCTGATACTGACCACTATACATGACTGTCTCTCTATTCTTGCACTGTCTCGTAAAAGTTGCAGTTATTTTTCTGGGAAGACTATAGATTTGTAAACAAACACATAGCCCTCAGTCTGTGTCATGATGCCTGCATGTGTTCGTGACCAGCACATGAAGCAATTTATGTACAAAAGCTCACAATGCCCAACCTTTTCCTATTTTCCCCTGAGTCCTAGGCTCAGAGCACTGACCATGAGATTTCTGTAATGAATATCAATACATCAAAAGTAGGTTTGCAGTTTATAGATACACACCTGAACAGCATACTCAAGATAGCTACGGCACAGGCATTTTGATGTAGTAACTCAGAGCAAGAGATGTCAGTTATCAGAGACTGTTAAAGAAACAAGATATTGCAAGAGTGCTAATTTTTAACCATGTTTTTAATTTAAATAAAAAAAATCTTTAGTTGTGTTCCCTTGTGTCCTTTATAAAGTTTATATCTCCACTACCTGGGATTACATTTTATGACACACATGGCCCGGCCCGACAAGGTCTGATTTATGTCAGATCCAGTCCTCATAACAAATGAGTTTGATACCCCTGTTATAGATATCCTACTGATAATGTCCTACTGATAATTTTTCACCTAAAATGTTTTAGTTTGGGTTGGATTTGACCAATTTCACTGTTCTTCTCTTTGTTCTGAAGAGTTAGATAAAATAGTGTTTGTCAGTAAGTAATATTTCAGCTCTGACTTGTTGGAGAGTCCAGAAACTCTCCAATCAGACTACATCATACAGCCTTCCCTCCCCAATGATAGTAGTAGGCAGCTTTAAAGCATGCTTTATGCTGGAATAGGCAGCTGGAATGATGGGAGCCCTAAGCGCTTTAACCATTCCTCATAGGGAAAGTGTTCCAACCCTTTTATCATTCGAGTTGCCCTTTTCTGCACTTTTTCCAAAGCTATAATATCCTTTTTAAGGTGTGGTGACCAGAACTGCACACAGTATTCCAAATGAGGTCTCACCATTGATTTATATAGGGGCATTATGATATTGGCTGATCTGTTTTCAATACCCTTCCTAATAATCCCCAGCATAGCATTGGCCTTCTTTATTGCAGTCTCACACTGTCTCGACATTTTCAGTGAGTTATCTACTACAACTCCAAGATCTCTCTCTTGTTCAGTCTCTGCCAGTTCAGACCCCATCAATGTGTATTTATATTTAGGATTTTTGGTTCCAATGTGCATCACCTTGCACTTGGCCACATTGAACCCCATTTGCCATGTTGACACCCTCTTGCCCATCCTTGACAGATCCCTTTGGAGTGCCTCACAATCCTCCCTGGTTTTCACCACTCTGAACAACTTTGTATCATCCACAAATTTAGCCAATTCACTGCTTACTCCCAACTCCAAATCATTAATGAACAAGTTAAAAAGCATTTGACCAAGTACTGATCCCTGTGGTACCCCACTGCTTACCACCTTCCACTGAGAAAATTGCCCATTTATACTCACTCTCTGTTCTCTATTAATTAGCCAGTTTTTGATCCATAAAAGGACTTGTCCTTCTATCCCATGATTTTTGAGCTTACTTAGGAGCCTTTGATGAGGAACTTTATCAAAAGCTTTCTGGAAGTCAAGGTAAATAATATCTATTGGATCCCCCTTGTCCACATGTTTGTTCACCCCCTCAAAGAACACTAACAGGTTAGTGAGACAAGATCTTCCCTTACAGAAACCGTGCTGAGTCTGCCTCAATAGGTTTTGTTCATCTATGTGCCTACTAATTCTTTCCTTAATAATGGTTTCCACCAATTTACCCGGAATCGACGTCAGACTGACTGGCCTGTAATTTCCCGGATCTCCTCTGGAACCCTTTTTAAAGATGGGAGTGACATTAGCTACCTTCCAATCCTCAGGAATGGAGGCAGATTTTAAGGAAAGATTACATATCTTTGTCAGGAGATCTACAAGTTCACATTTGAGTTCTTTCAGAACTCTCGGATGTATGCCATCTGGGCCTGGTGATTTTTCAGTTTTTAAGTTGTCTATCAGTTTTAGGACCTCCTCTCTCATCACCTCAATCTGACTCAGGTCTTTCAACACCCCTCCCGAAATCAGCAGTTCTGGAGTGGTCAAGCACTTCTCATCTTCCACAGTGAAGACAGAGGCAAAAAATGCATTTAGCTTCTCAGCCATTTCCCTATCATCCTTCAGTACTCCTTTTACCCCTTGGTCATCCAAGGGCCCCACTGCCTCCCAGGCTGGTTTCCTGCTTCTAATGTATTTGAAGAATCTTTCACCAATTAGTCCCATCATTCCAGCTGCCTATTCCAGCATAAAGCATGCTTTAAAGCTGCCTACTACTATCATTGGGGAGGAAAGGCTGTATGATGTAGTCTGATTTCATCAGATCTCAGAAGCGAAGCAGGGTCAGTATTTGGAAGGGAGTCCACCAAGGAAGACTGCAGAGGAAGGCAATGGCAAACCACCTCTACTTCTCACTTGCCTTGAAAGCCCCTTACCAGGGTCACCATAAGTTGACTGTGACTTGGTGGCAACTTTACACACATTCCAATGTTCCCTCTAAGCTGTGGAGCCTGGTGAGCAAAAATTCTACTTTGTGAGCTACTGGGCATTAAAGTTGTGAGCAAGAGATGTGGCTACTGCATAAATTAGTTTGCTCTGGAGCCATCCTTCCTGAGCTAAGACAAAAATGTGTGAGCCAGAGGCTAAAAAACTGTGAGCTAGCTCACACTAACTCAGCTTAGAG